TCTCACCAAAAGGCTCTGACTCTTTCTGGGAATGAGCTATGGTAACAGCAAATTCTAGTGCATTAGCTAAGTGGCAACCAAGTGGAGATGTTTACACACTGGGGGTCAGCACACTATTCAAATACTTTGAACATAGCAACCAAACCCAACCTTGCTCTAATGCAATATCCACAGGTACATACTTCCAGCAGGAGTCACAATTTAGGAATGATATTGAAAATTCATCCCATAACCTAAGGGACCAAACTGCTGCCACTGTTCAGATTTTTCCACGCAGAACTGACTCTGGTAACCAAACACTGAAGTCTCTTGTATGGCTCAACAATTTCAGCGTTGCCAGCATAACCCTCATCCTTCCAGAGACAGCAATGCTATCTTCAGCATTTGCAAATGCATCCACTCAAAAAGCAAATTAGAGGGCATTAATATTTTATTAATTTCATTATATCGCATTGGAAACCCAGAGAAGTCATATGCCCTCAGTATTGTGAATTATTAAAATAAGTTGGGGCACTGATTATTTTAATACAATATATGCAAATGATTAGTTTCCAAATGTACTTTGCCAGCTGGTATCAATACAACGCTGCACTTCCTGTCATATACCTAAAATGCATTGTCTGACCTAGGATGTCACCTCTGATATACGAGGGAACTGATAAAACCTTTAGTTATCTTGGGAAAGTGACGTGAAAGAAATTTGAGAATTTGCATATTAATTCTTTCTAACTGATTAAAGATTTAATAGCCATCTTAGGTTTATTCAACACTGCACCAGTTCTATGACCCTTTGATCTTTTGCTTATAAATTCCGAGTCCAATGCCTTCTCTCTCACTGAGATCTGAAGGAGTTAGACTCCAAAAGATTGAGTCTTCAAATCAACCTGCTGGACTATAATCTGGTGTTGTGTGATTTTTGACCTTGCCCATCCGAGGCCAACACCAGCACTTCCACATCATTCCTGTCAATATAATGCAAGGTCACACAGCAAAACGGGTAGTGGCTATAATGGAAAACCTGGAGCACCAAATGGAAAGGATAAACACCAAGGACAAAATTAAAGTAATGCTCAGAAGCTACTAGTTAAAAGCAAAACATCTAGGCATCTGTTGCAAGGCTGCAACACTTCCTTGGGATATCAGATGACATTCAGCTACTGAAGTTAGGCGAACTGGCTGGAACAGTAAGTTTTGACACCTGTGACACCAGTTTGTCTTCTACTTCTGTTGCCACTGAGTAAAATGAGCTTGACAATCTCAACACTATCTGGTTACTACAAGAAGACACGTACTAGCATAGTAATTTGACATCCTGTCCAAAACGACCATAGAGAATGAAATAACGATATTGGAATTGACCCTGTGTAGCTAGAGGTTCTCTTCATAGAATCCCTACAGTGTGGAAGCAGGCCATTAGGCCCATTGAGTCTACACCGACCCTCCAAAAGAGCATCCCACCCAGATCCATTCCCCTGCCCTATTCCTGTAACCCTGCATTCCCCATGGCTAGCCCACCTAACCTGTACATCTCTGGACTCTATGGACAATTTAGCATGGCCAATCCATCCAACCTGCTCACCTTTGGACTGTGGAAGGAAACCAGAGCACCCAGAGAAAACCCAAGGAGACATGGAGAGAACGTCCACGTGGGTTTGCACAGTCGCCCGAGGCTAGAATTGAACTTGGGCCCCTGGCGCCGTGAGGCGGCAGTGCTAATGGCTGAGCCACCGTGCGGCCCTCTTCTGGAATTCAAAGTGAAGCAAGATGGGATAGTAAAGGATTACTTTTTGGTTTATTAGGCTGTATTACTTCTGCCTTAACTTGATGCTGATGATGCCTGTCAAGTCAGAAACGTTAGACTGCCCATCCCCGGCTGGATGGTTGCAGCCACCAGAGTGCTGAAGCAGTTAAACACCACTCAGGCCAGCAGTTTGCTTGATCAATGTCCCTGGACTCAATATCATTCCTTCCATCACCGATGCACTATCTACAAGAGTAATTTACAGCAATTCCCCAAGTCTAATGCACCAGCACCTCATTCCCCATATCTCGAAGGACAGTGGAAACACATCTCCAATGCACACATTATGACTTGGGAATGTAACCTGTGCTCCTAACTGTAGCTAGAATGATATGCTGAAACTTGCTATCTGACATCATGAGTGCCATTCTAGCTAAAGGGAAGGCACACCACCGATTTCTATGGGCTTGCAAACGCAACTTTTCCAAAATTCACATCTGAGCAAACTTATAGACAAAAATGTGTAATAAATTAAATGTCAACATTAACATTAATGTTTTAGTGAAAATTTTCAGGTTTATCACATTACATCCTCTCCCACTTACTCAGCCCCGACTCCCCCTCCCCCAACACCTTACAAAAAAGATAGCAGACGGTTTCAGTAATATGCTGAAAGAGATCGCATGTTAAAAGATCATTGGGCCAGCTGTCCGACAGCTCTGGGGATCTTTAACCATAACCCAAACATTAAAAAATGGCAAACATGCATTCAAAAAACAAACTTTGGCTTAAGCTTTGAGTTATTAGCAAGCAGCAAAGTTGATGGCACAAGAGGTTCGAGTGGCTGAAATCCATTACAGAATGATTGAATTAGACAGCAGAGCAATACACAAATGCTAATAAATATATTTGCTGCTATTATGTGATTTACCACTAATTTTAAAGCCATCGGGACTTTTTAAACACACAACCTGGGATTTATGACTTAGAGACAAGTAAGGACTGCAGATGCTGGAAGCCAGAGCCAATAGATGAGAAGTTGGAAAAGCACAGGTCAGACGGCATCTGAGGAGCAGGAAAGTCAACGTTTCTGGCTGAAACCTTTTGACGAAACGTTGACATTCCTGCTCCTCAGATACTGTCTGACCTGCTGTGCTTTACCAGCTTCACATCTATTGACTTGGGATTTATATTGTCTTTAGCATAATAAAGTGTCCCAAGGTGCTTCACAGGAATATTACAAAACGACATCTGAGTGACACGTAGAGATATTAAGGAACATGACCAAAAGCTTGGTTAAAAAGGTACATTTTAAGTAATATCTCAAGGTTGGAAACAGAGGCACCAGGAGAGAATTTTGGAGCATGTGGCCCATGTAACAAAGGGCGTGGTTACCAAGAGAGGAGTAATTAAAATTGGGATTAAAAACTGAAAGAACTGCGGATGCTTTAAATCAGAGACAAAAATAGGAATTGCTGGAAAAACTCAGCAGGTCTGGCAGCACCTGTGGAGAGAATCAGAATTAATGGTTCAGGTCGAGTGCCCCTTCCTGAAGCTGTGTAATTCAAAGGGCTGACTTCTGCAGAGCCTGTGCATCTCTGGTTTGTTGTATTGATTAAAAGGGAAGATTAGTTGTGGAAACTAGAGCAGAATACAGAGATAGTAAAGGTAAGAACATGGAAAAATTTGAAAGTGACAATGAGATACAAAAATTGAGGTACAACTTAACCAAAAACCAATGTGGACCAGTGAATACATTGGGATGGTGGGTGAATGGGACTTAATACAAGTTTAAGGCAAAGGTGACAAAGTTTTGGGCAATCTCAAATTTACAAAAATTGAATGTGAATGGCAAGCCAAGAGTGAGTGACACGTTACAACTCCTATTGAGAGGATTCACCATTCTACGAGAACATGTCGTGAAGTAACAGCATAAAATCACTCCGGTTCAATTTGCATTATTCTGTTAAATCTTGAAATTTTGACAGCATAGTTGGTTATTTTAATTGAAATAAAAAGCTAGACTGTACTATATTATAACTACCCTTCTGATCTAACAATTCAGAAGATGCTTTAAACTACAAATGCAATGCCTCAATATCTCTGTGCACATTATTTGTTAGTATCAGAGTCATACAGCATAGAAACAGACCCTTTGGTTCAACTCGTCTGCACCAACCGGACATCCCAATCTGACCTAGTCCCGCTTGCCAGCATTTGGCCCATACCCCTTGAAACCCAATCCTATTCATATACAATATATTCATACACCCTATCCAGATGCCTTTTAAATGTTGCAATTGTACCCGCCTCCACCACTTCCTCTGGCAGCTCGTTCCATACACGCACCACCCTCTGCGTGAAAAAGTTACCCCTCAGGTCCTTTTTAAAATCTTCTCCTCTCACCTTAAACCTATGCCCTCTAGTTTTGGACACCCTCACCCAAGGGGAAAACAGCTTGGCCATTCACCGCATCCATGTCGCTCATGATTTTAAAAGCCTCTTTAAGGTCTGCCCTCCCCTCCCCTCCCCTCCCTCACTCCTGAAGCACGCATTTTATATCCAATCTGCAGCGCACTCTCGGCTGTCTTACTAAATCTCATTCATGTGGTTTGCTGCATACGCAGTGTGCAAAACTGTGTTTTAATTAATGTACTAAGCCTGGCTGCGAAATAATACAATACAGGGCTCAGACTGCGTCCGTTTAATATTTAGGTAAAATATATCAACTACATGGACCGTTATTTTACGTGAACTGCATGCTGTCCCATTCTGACTCTAGGCATGTCATGGTTACCCTCAACTGCTCACAAGCCAGCTGTTTTTTGATCATCGGAAAGCCATAAATTAAAAAAAAAAGACTAAAGTTGAAAATACAGGTGGCACATTTAAAAAGAAGCCAGTGGGAAAGGGTTCCCTCCACCTACAATGGGTCCAAGCTACCTGTGCTGAAAATGGCGGGAGGGAGGCAATCGTGTCTGTCTGCCCCCTTATCGCCTTCTTAGATTTTAAACTGTTAAATTAGATGCAATTTTATTTTAAGATCACGAAGCCAACGCCCAGCTTATTTTCCCCTTTCTGCCCACGCTCCCACCCCCACTTTTCTCAGTGAACAATAGCTGACCAGCAGCCTGGGGGCGAAATGAAAATACAGAATGCAGCCTCACTGTGCAAACGGCTGAACAAAGACAGCCCTGCGTTTAGCGATTAAAATTTGTGAATGAGAGTTAAGGTGGAGGGTGTGCAGTTACTCACTCACCATTTGCCGAGCTACTTCAACCGCCGCCATTGTCGATCCACTGGTGACAAGAAGCTCGCGTACCCCAGCCACAGGCACTGGATACATGTTGGCCGCTACCACTGCGCTCAAAGGTGGGGGGGGGGAATGAGGGCAACTACTGTCTGTCTCTCTGCACCACAAACACGGTTTGTTCGCTGACTCGCTGTCAGCACGCGGCACGCCTTACAATCCCGATTTGCTTTTTAGCCACCAGTTGCCTTCCCCAATATCGTCAAAATTTTACCAGCTGGTCGACAGTATCCCCTGTTTCGAGAATGATAGCGTCCCCCGTTAGACACATTGTTGCAAGAATAGCGGAAGCGTTAAGTATCATTTTTTTTGCTCTGATTTGACGAAATGTTATTTTCTCGGCTTAAAGAGATTGAGTGTAGTTCCTTCATGAGCAACTCACACTTGCAGCTTTATTTAAACACTAATTCAAGTACCTTAAAATGGTTATTTCCCAATGCTTTAAACTTCTAAAAACTACGGTATTTATACATTATAAGTCGCAAATTTCAAATTGAAAAATATTTGCAAGGAAGCGATTCGTTTGGCGCATTTTTCTTAACAATGCGTTTCTTTTTAAGAATTACTGTGCAAATGATGTGGTTGATGTAGAGCAGGTGCGGAAAAGTCAGTATTTTTGTTGTCGTATAGGCGGCGTCATTGTTACTTCAGTGTATTGCAAGTTTTTTTTAAAAGTCAGTTGTCTTTTCCCCTCCCACAAAACTCAGTGGGTGATATATGCACAGGGCAATACAGCGACTAGCACCCACGTTTAACTTCAAAGATACCTAACCTTTAATGTCTAAGTGAACTGACGCAAACTGTAAAGATTTAGATGCGACTTGATTTACCTCCTACTGTAAGCAGTGACTAATCCAATATGTCACAGGGTGATTCACCCTTCCACTGGACACAATACGGCGCGTATTTTATTACCTTTTTATAGAAATGCTTCTCTTTTATTCAAATGTGAACGATCTTAATTTAATTTCTTATAGATAACAGAGAAGAAAGGGTGATTGAAGATAGAACAACAGTTTGCAAGGCTGGTTGAATCAAGGATCAAGGGCACGTTTTGAGAGGAAAGTAGCAGAATTTGAGAGAGACAGCAAAAAGAGAAACTTATTCACAATATTATTTGACATGGCGACTATGAGGGGAAGATGGTGATTCCCAGTTTGATAAGAATGGCATTGAAGGAACACGAGATGGATCTAATGAAAAAGATGAGTTCACAGAGGGCTGGAAGAAAAACTCAAGAAGATGTAAGTTCTAGACCAGAACAGTGAGAAAGTTCGGCCAATTAAATTCTGGCAAGAGGGACTACATAGTTTAGGATATCTGGTCGGCGCAGATGAGTTGGACCGAAGGGTCTGTTTCCGTGCTGTATAAGCCAGGATTCTATGAATCTATGAGGTGGGCTATTGAAAGCAATGATATAGCAGAGACAAGTTATAAGATGGTCCTAATCTCAAGAGTTTACCTTGCATACTAGGATTATCCTGAAACAGTGAGCAGATTTAGCAGATGACAACAGAACTTGATACTGCTTTCTGTGGTCTAACAGATCTGGTAGTGGGTAGCTAAATAAATTATCCATTATATCTTTATAAGGCTGTGCCCCATGGCCTTGAGGAGTGGAGATTAGGGCCATAGGAAACACAGAATTGCGGGTGTGAGAGAGAGCACTGGTTTTATTGGGCATTAAATATGGAGGTGAGGGTGAAGTGACAGCAGAAGTATTGTGGTGAATGGAGGAACCAGGGACTGGGCAATTATGTAGCCAGTAGAGAATCCTATCCAGATTGTTTCACAACCACTGCATATCTCAAAGCATTTGACCAATTAAATAACAAGGTGTAGAGCTGGATGAACGCAGCAAGCCATGCAGCATCAGAGGAGCAGGAAAGCTGACATTTCAGGCCTAGACCCTTCAGAAATCTTTCTGAAGAAGGGTCTAGGCCCGAGACATCAGCTTTCCTGCTCCTCTGATGCTGCTTGGCCTGCTGCGTTCATCCAGCTCTGCACCTTGTTATCTCAGATTTTCCAGCATCTGCAGTTCCTACTATCTCTGACCAATGAAATACTTTCTGGTGATGTCATCATTGTATTGTAGGAAAGACAGCAGCTAATGTGCACACAAAAAGCTCCCATAAACAGCAACGTGATAAGGACCAGATTTTTTTTGTGATATTGATGAAGGGATGAATATTGGCACAAGGGATAACTCCACTGGCACTTCCTCAAACAGTACAATTTGATCTTTTATATCCAGCTGAAAGGACAGATGGGTTTAACATCTCATCTGAATGATGGCACCTCTGGTAATGCAGTATTCCTTTGGAACCTTGAAGTTTAAGCTCCAATCCTGGAGTGGGATTTGAACCCAGAGCCTTATGACCCTCACTGAAAGCGCTACCAATTAGCACTACCACAGCCATACATCAGCATATGTCCTGGTGGCGGGTTCCGGGCAGGAGGCCAGTGCAAAAGGCAGCAAGGCAGCAAGGCCTCATGCTCTGAAGCCCAGCAGGCACAGACTCAGTGAAAAGGACTGTAATTTGAGCAAATTTTAAAGATAATTTCATTCTTATTCCAGACTTTGAGTAATTTGAGTACTTTTTATACTTCGTATTCCTATGCTAGACTTTTTTTAAACTCTTTCAATTCTGTAACAAACGCTTAAGTGTCTGTACCTAGGTATCCTGTACCTAAGATGGCACCAGAGCAACGACATTACAAATTTTTCACTGCAATCATTCAAATGCTTGTGACAATAAAGGCTATACTGTTCCATTCTAAGTCAGCATCTTCAGCAAAAATGAGAAAATGTAGCTGCTGGGGGATGTAACAGTTCAACCAAATTGCTGCTATTATATTGTGATACAGCAGTTTCAGGCTTGGATTATTGTAGAAATGCCATTAAGGAATTGGAGACCAAATGAAGGCAAGCAATTTGTGTCTGTCCTCACAGCAACCTATCTGTACAACATAACTAGGGTTTATTGACTGTGTACCAGGCTTAAGAGTGAGTGTGGGGCAGGTAGTTTCAGTATAACTGTTGCCTAATTTCTAATTAATTTCAGTGTTCCCACTCAATACAATTCGCTTTATATACTCCAAATAGATGGAGGTGGGATCTTTTATTTGCTCTTTGAGTATTTAAGATCATTTCATAACATAGTCTGTGCTATAAAGTGTCTACAAAATTGGGTAAGGTAATAACAATTGACATTTCATTGACAAATACCATGATGAAATCCAGGACGGGCACCTGTATGGCAGCAAATGAAAATAATCCTTCCAGAACGCAGGGAGAATGTTGGCAGAGAGAAAAAAAAGGTTAAAGTTTTTTAATTTAAGGCATTGATTTCAATAAAAGAGTCATAGAGTTTTTACAGCATGGAAGGAAGACTTTCAGCCCATGTTGACTTATGCCGGTCATCAAACAATCATCTACACTGATTCCATTTTTCAGCACTTGACCCGTAATCTTGTATGGTGTGGCATTTCAAGTGTTCATCTAAATAGTTCTTAAATATCTTAAAGCTTCCCACCTCTAGCACCTTTCAGGCAGAGAATACGAGACACCTATTATCCTTTGGGTGGAAAAAACCTCAACTCCCCTCTAACCTCATGCCCCTTAACTTAAAACTGTGCTCCCTGGTTATTGACCCCTCTATGAAGGGAGAAATATTTCCCCTATATTCCCTACATTTAACAATCCATGCAGTTATCTAGTCCCTTTACACAGCTGAAATGTTCCTGTCCAGGCAACATCCTCGTGCTCTTCTGCACCTTTTCTAGTGCAATTACATCCCTCCGATGGTTTGACAATCAGAGCTGTACATAGTACACCAGCTGTGGCCTAATTAATGTTATATACAGCCCCATCATAGCCTACATGCTCTTGTATTCAATGCCTTGACCAATAAAGGTAAGAATCCCATATGCCTTCTAACCATCATTCTTAATCTGTCCTGCTGACTTCAAGGATCCATGACATGCAAACCAAAGTCTCTTTGTTCGGCAACACCAGCCAGGACCCTATCATTAAGTGTATAAGTCCTACCCTGGTTTGCCTTAGCAATATGCAACACCTCACAAAGAAGATTGATGAAGCCATAGCATAGACTTCAAGGTTCCGCAGGGTAGACTAATTAGCAATGTCAGATCACATAGAATCCAGGGAGAGCTAGCCACCTGAAAACAAAATTGGCTTGAAGTTAGGAGACAGAGGGTAGAGGTGAAGAGTTTTTTGGACTGGAGGCCTGTGACCAGTGGTGTGCTGCAAGGATCGGTACTGGGTACCCTACTTTTTGTCATTTATATAAATGATATAAAGGAGTTATGGTTAGTAAATTTGCAGATGACACCAACATTGGTAGTGTAGTGGACAAAGAAGAAGGTTACATCAAATTACAATGGGACATTGATCAGATGGGCCAATGGGCTGAGGAGTGGCAGATGGAGCTTAATTTAGATAAATGTCAGGTGCTGAATTTTGGAAAGGCAAATCAGGGCAGGACTTATACACTTAATGGTAAGGTCCTGGGGAGTGTTGCTGAACAAAGATACCTTGAAGTGCAAGTTCATAGTTCCTTGAAAGTGGAGTTGCAGGTAGGCAAGGGTGTGAAGAAAGCATTTGGTACACTTGCCTTTATTGGTCAGTGCATTGAGTATAAGAGACAACAAGGTGCAGAGCTGGATGAACACAGCAGGCCAAGCAGCATCATAGGAGCAGTAAGGCTGACGCTTCGGGCCTAGACCCTTCATCAGAAATGCATTTCTGATGAAGGGTCTAGGC